CAGACACATGCGAATTCTCTAACCAGGGTGGAAAATGACTTCAACAGTGTTCCTCAAATGGGTATACCTCTTTTCATATAGGAATTGGAAAAATGGAATTTAGAGCGACATTATCGATTTTTTTTTTTTTTTTTTTTTTTTTTTTTTTTTTTTTTTTTTTTTTGCCTGAGGGTTTCTTTCACCGATACACAAGTTTAAAAAATATCACAACTGGCCTTTCATAAACGATAACAAGGAGTTTTCCATCCCTACCAGACCAGCTTGCTAAAATAAGAAACTCCTCTTAATCGATAATTTGCGCCGTTCGGTAACCGCGAAAGCCTGAATATTCAAATTAAAACTTTCGATCAATAAGTGAGAACACAGAAGAACCTCGACTTGATGGCTCAATCCAGGCGGAAAATCCACTCGCCCGAGTTTGTCCCACTGCCAGCATCCACACAACCCGCAAGGCCGATTTTTTCCTTTCTAAGGTCACCAAATGCATCACGCCAGCGCGCGACCGCGGATTTTGCATCGAGTTTTGGACTCGGGTTTCCAGACTTCCTCCTATTTGGAAGAAAACCATTTTTCAGCGCTCCGAATACGGCAACCCTGGGAGCTGGCCAAGATACGATCAGCACTGTCCAAACGTGTCACCACGTGGGCGCCGTTGACAAATCGCACTTCAAAATCATGAATTAATTATGTTGGGTTTATGAGTTTCAGACACAGGTTGAATATATTGTGTGCGACGTCGCTTAGGCCTTCAGATGACACTAGATGCAGACGGTGAGATAACCCTCTTGCGTTGCGCTGCTTCGAGATCGAATTTGTATCCAACGATAGTCTCTTGCAAGAAAAGGGGCTCAAAAATCGAGGTGCACATTTAGCCCGTTCTCGTTGGAAAATTTGAAATATCCTGGAACGGTCGGGCAATGCTGTGATATGACTGATTACGTCAAAGTTACGTCAAAGTGTGACGGTAAGACTCTGGCAGTGAAGTGCGGAAAAAGTTTGTTACAGGCAAAGCAGTGGAGAGGCGTGGATGATTGATAATCGATATCTCCCCATTCGAAAGTAAGGTAAAGTATCGATTAGTAAGGTGTTTGTTGCGAACACCCTGTTTAACGATCCTTTTCTATAGGTTTAAATAGCAGATCAATCGATAGATCGCAAAGTACGCAACGCCACATGAGCAAACGAAGTCTCCCTCGAGGCTCTTTGAAAGCTACACCAAAGAGTTTCCTTTGAATGCAACCGAGCTGGAGTTGGTAGCGAAGGGTAAGTTAATAAAGAACTTCTACCTTGAAATCAAGTAGTTTCGATTGATTTCGTAAGGTTCTGACTGATGCATCTACTTTGAACAGTCGGCCTGAGGTAAAACACTCCTAAAAACCAAAGAAACTAACTTATTTTTGGAAGCAAATAGTGAGATGTTAGGGCCAGGACTCCTTGAACCCTTCCCTCTCGGGAATACCTCCGACTCATCTCATTTCCCCTTAACAGAAAGCTGCTTTAACGAAATCTTTGTTCTGACGTAACGCAACTTGCAAGACGAAGCAAATTTAAATGAGAAAGACGATTGGAGCAGATTATACAATAAAGAGCCAATATTAACGATTCACCCATACACCCATTAAAGCACCTTTCTGCAGAGGAAACCTAACTGGAAGACGCATTTATTATTTTTCAAATGAGCGAAAAATATTGGTCCGTAGTGCAAAGGGTAGTCCAATATATTCTTTTCCATGATTTTTTTGACAGCATTTTCTTTGCCCTCGGCATTTCATAAAATAATTTTTCCCCTTGCCTCCACAGTTTTATTTTTTTATTACCAGCTTTCGGAAGCGTTCCCGAAAGAAAGGTAGGTCCAAGAGGCTCCTTTACGTTCTGAAGTTTAGTAAAAAAGGTGATTTTCAGTAGATATATTTTATATAACTTAAGCCAAGTGTTCAAAAGCAGTACGCTCGTCGTCCTTTGAATACAGCGGGCGAAACAATAACACTCCCTTATAAGTGAATTACTTTTTCACACAACACCTTCCTCCCATACAAACGATAAGATCACCAGGACAGCATTGCTCAGCACACAGTAAGACATACTACGTGGTTATGAGACATGGGAGTGAACGGTCATCTAGTCTCTCCTCAGACGTAAGAACTTATCTCGGTTCCCATGTGAACCCTAGAAAGCGAGGCATGAAATGGACGACAGGGCTCATCTCTGAATGGAGTTAGGTCATCTGGACGACGAAACAACCGCGCGCCTTGACGGATGGCCGGACGGTAAATCACGAGCCAGCGGCCGTTTGTTTGTTTAGCCGCTGATTAATCTGTTGCGGTGACGAGACGAATGAATACAAATCTCAGCATCTTCTTCTCAACGCATGCTGGAAGGGAGGAGGAACGAGACGTGGACGATAAACAGACGAGCCGTGGTTTTGAACTTTACAGCTGACGCGGGGGGAAGGGGAGGGGGAGTGGTGAGGAAGAGGAGGAGGAGGGGGCACGTTTACTCTGAGCAGTCTGAGCTTCTTGTTGCGCTGGAAACGTGGTTAGGGGCTCCGGCACCCAGGAAATTAGAGACTCGTTAAGCCTGGATAGAGGGGTGGGTATTTCAAACTTTCTTTCGGTTTTTCTGTTAATTTTTTTAAGATATTTACGGAGGTTCAGGCAAAAAATTATACGCCCATGCCCAACAATGAAATGTTTGTGTTATGGGAGAAATGAGTGGAATTCAATTCCTGTAAGATATAGTTCTCGGTAAGTTTACAATCTTAAAAGTACGCTTGCAAAAGGGAAGCGCTTTATAAGTTGACTCGATAATTTAATTCCAGCGACATTGTAGTTCTCGGCAAGTTCACCTTCTCAAAATTATCATTTTGCGACAACTATGTTTAGACAACTGTATAGGAAACTCATGGAATCGAAACGTGGAATTTGGTCATCACACGTGAAGACTAGAGTCCCTTTATACTGAGAGTCAAGACAACACCCCTTCATGGAGTCACAAACGGGAATAAAGATTACACAAATTGAACGTTTTTCGTAATCTTTGATCGGCCCATTCTCAAATTCCTTTCTCCCTTCCTTCTCTTATTTCGTTTGTTCCTTGCCGAACCCGTAATTCCCTGGTCCATTCCAGATTATAATCTTTGCAATCGGTGAAAATGTAATCTTCATTCCCGTTTGTGACACTGTGAAGGCCTAAAATACGGGAACCAATCAGAAATGGATTCACATTGTCTTGACTCTCAGTATAAAGGGACTCTAGTGAGAACCAAAATTGGGTCCGCGAGGATGGCTGTAAACCGACACCGCAAAACAAGCGAACTGCAAAGCGCTATTTTTACCGAATCCTCTCCGCTTCATTTCCTGATTTTCAAAATTCGATCGGAATGCAAAGCCGTGGATCGGCGGGGGGCTGGGGGGCTGGAGCGTTTAAAATTAGCAGACTCGCGACTTGTGCGCGACGGGGCGGTGGAGGGCGGATAATTTATTTGAGAGCGAAGTACCCGAACGTCCGTGCGTCGACATTGCTGGAGAAAATCGCGGATATTAGTCCGCTTTCAGTTGGCAAGCGTGCCAACCGCTGAAAATATTTTCTCCAGAGATTATCAAACTCCGACGTTGCCGGGGAGAAATTTCGGAGTTTCGAGAAGCTTCTACACATACGTCGTTTCCCCTACGAAGGAACCAGGGCCGGATTAAGGGGGTGGCCACATGGGCCGCGGCCGCGGCCCATGGTGGCAAATCTAAGGGGCGGCAAAAATTTGCAATTTTTTAAAGTGTAGGTATAAAAAAATCGGATTTATAAAAAAAAAAATTACAAACGAGAAAATGTGACAAAATCTCTCATTTCCTGAGAGTATAGTAATTTCTAATTTTGTCGTCTCTTAGTGATACAAGAGACAGCGCCTTCAGTAAGTCGAGTTAAGAGAGAGACCAAACACGCAATTTGGCCTGGAACGGCGCGACTCAGAGAGAAATGATAACGAGGACTTGAGATGAAAAGGAAGCCCTCAGCGCGGCGATCGGCATGTAACACATATTAGCGCCTACAAGACTGCACGAATACTTCCCGCATTGCATCAAACACAGTGCGGTCATTGCGGTCAGCGTGAAATGGATAGCGCCTACAGGAATGCATGACTACTTCACGCATTGCGCCAAACACAGTGCGGTCAGCGTGAAACGCATAGCGCCTAAAAGACTGCGTAAATACTTCACGCGTTGCGTCTAACACTTATTCTCACAGAATCTCACCAAAAGTTGCATTGTTTCAGTCAATTTTGCAGCCTTGGAATGCAGTTACGTTCTTTCGTCCGGAAAATGGGTGTGTTGCCAGGAGGCATGTGAAGAGGGATTAAAAACCAAAAAAATGTTAGAGGAACGGAAAGGGGAAGGAACTATCAAAACTAAATCNGCTCCCCCAGCTCGTTCTGCCAACTTTACGATAATTACACGCAAAGCGGCGGAGCCTGCAGACCGATTTTCCTGAGCTTCCTTCTCTCGTTACTCTTCCGACACGCGTTCCTGTATTCGTTCCAAAATTCAGAGCTCTGGACTTCGCGGCCCCGCTGAAATTTTTGTACGTCCGGGCCGACACGAACGGTTTCATAAATTGAAACGCGGCCGAGACAACCTGAGTGAATAACCATGAAACTCGTTAAAATTAACGACCAGCTGAAAACGTTCAAAGGAGAGGCGGCGGCGTTAAAAATAAAAACCTTTCCTTGGTATGTATGGATGCAAGAGAGAGTCCCAGTTGTGAATTGACAGAACGATCATCCATTAACTGCATATATTTTAATATTTAAAATCTTTTGAAGTCTTCTCAAGATTGCGGAACCACGGTTTCAAACTTCAAGGAAATGATGCCAATTTGTTGTCCTTTAAAAAAATAACATACGGGCGAAGATTTTCCGACACCGCTAACGAGATATTATGTGATTGCGGCCTTCCGCCATCGATATACTGAGAAGATGAGATTCGAATAAAAATAGTGTGTGGACTTACCCTTCCGAGGAAGTATTTTCGGTAGCACTTGGCGGTGTCATCGGTTTCGATTTTGGGCCGCCACGTGGGTGAGGAGGGGCAGGTGGAGTCTGGTTTTTCCTGGCAGTCGAGCCAGTATCCACCGCCGACAGGTAGCACCACCATCGGGTATGGGGTTGGTCCCCGGAGAGTGTCCTCCAGGAGGGCTTGACTCCCTTCCCGATCCTTCGAACTCCGAGATTCCTCCCGCGAGCTCTGAAACACACAATTACGTAAAAATTACAAACGCGGAACTGTTGTCACAACAAACTCAAACATGAAAATTCGAAATGACGATAATAAAAAGTAAATAAATACAAAAATATGCTAAAGCGGAATGTAGAAAATAAAGGATACGCTCGGTATCGCTCAATTTTGGGAGGGACCTGAAGATATGTACCTTAAACGGCGGACGAAGGAACGTAACTCAATTCCAAGGTTGTCAAATCGACTCAAACAATTTATTTATTTTACAAGATTTTACACAATTGCAGTTAGAAATGCCCAAGATTCTCCTGGTTAGTATGCAATTTTTCTGTGGAAATTATGAAGCATTGAAATGAAGTTACGTTCTTTCGTGAGAGAAACCACAAATAGAGGGGAGAGGAGGGGATTTATTTATTTTACAAGAATGTACCTGTGCAATTTGTATCCAAAATTTTTCTACTTTTGGCATAAAATCCACTGGAAAAAAAACACATTGGATCTAGAGTCCAGACTCTTAAAAACATTGGCAAGGAAAAATACTCTTGATTCAAGCAGATTTAAGCTTAAATCAAGAGTATTTTTTCTTGTCGATGCTTTTGAGAGTCTGGACTCTAAATCCGATGTGTTTTTTTCCAATGCCTGAGGAAAAATCAGTGACATTTTCCGAAAGAAACGCCCAAGATTTCCCTGGTTCATACGCAATTTGAGAGGGAGAATTTGGAAACGTCTCAATGGAATTACGTTCTTTCGTGAGGAAAACGACGAAAGGGAGGCAAAAGGAGGGGGCAAAGAACGGGCAGAGTTCACGGACAGCCCTCAAGTCGGGTCTCAAATTCCGAGTGACATTTCGCACTCGGCGCGACCCCGTCTGAAAGTTGGTCACCGCGGCTGGATGTGAGTATCATTATCCCGGTGTCGCAACCGGGGAGTGAGTTTACCTTACACGACCGGCGTCGCGACGCCGCGGCGGCGTCGGCGTGCACGCCTTGCGCAATCCCCGCACGCACCCGCGCAGCACCCCCGCCTCGATCCTTTGCTCCTTTGAGCACTCTACCCTGCTGAATAAAAAACTGCTTAACTCGAACGGCTTCCCTTTGTGAATACGCAGTTAACACTTCACACGATGACACGACAGCGCTCCGTCTGCCCTATTAAATAAAAAAACATAACCACAATCTATTACCGATGAAGATACGTGGTTTATGCTTAGGAATTGCTGCCCTGCTGAGGAATATCCGCGTAATCCTAACCGATGATACGTGGTTCATGCTTAGCGCGGTCCGGCGGCGCGGAAGAAGCGAATTGATGGGAGAAATCGGACATGGTTTCTGCTGTCTTAAGTAAAACCGCCGTGACTACATTCTTCAATTTTGAAGGGAAAAAAAATCAGACAAAATGCTGTTTCACAAGAAAACTAACAAACGCTACCTCCTCCATTTTTTCGAGTCAACTTTGACATACTATTAAAAAGTTAAAAACTCAAAAAGGAAAACTGAGGTCTTGTGGCAATTGGTTTTCTTATAATGAGGCAGTGTGTGTGAAAGAAAATGCGACATTTGGGATGGAGTTACGGCCTTCTTGCTGTGGACGGTAGATTTTGAAACAATGAAAGTTTACACTTACTTACGTTAGTAAAACACATAAAGGTTTTAAAGTGGTTCCGTTGTTTTTCTCGTAAACTTATTTAAAGAAACATTCCTTAAAATGTGTAGTAGGAGGATAAAAACATCCAAATTGGCAGCTTTAAGTAAAAAATGACACGTCTAACCACTCTCAATACTGTGTCCCATTGTGCAGCGATCTGGTCTCCTATGGTCGCCTCAAAACTCGCGCCGCACCGTTGCTCGGTGACTATTGTTCTTGTTCTTGTTCTTGTTCTTGTTTGGAACTTCTCATGATCACCGGGTAATTGTGAACTCCGCGCAAACTTTCGTCACGGGTCGGGGCTACNGGGGGGGGGGGGGGGGGGGGGGGGGCGTCGCTGCATTCAGAGCGGAGCCGTGCATTTGCTCTTTACACGTGATGCAGTGCTTACGGCACGGTGTTTGCCGGCGAGTGTTTCGGCTGATCACGTGACGTTGTTTCAAGGTTGAGGCTGGGAGCTGGAATCTGAAGCTTACAGTTGAAAGTTGAAGACTTTTAAATGCGTGGAATTGTTGTTATTTCTTACGCAGATCGGAGGAAATTGCACGGTGACAAGTTTTCCTGGATTTTTTTTTCTTTGGTCAACAGAAGGGTTTCCTGGATCTAAAGATGGACTTTCTTTTGGTTGTTCGACGTTGTTGAACATGCAACTTTCTTGACCTTCAAAAAATGTTCGGTAGTATGGTTTCGTCTGATTTGTGCGTTTCAATTTCAGTGACTGTAAGCACTACGCTTGAAAAATATAAAGCTGCTTCAGTTGGAGAAAATGAAGATCCGTCCAATGAAAAATCCATGACTTTTCTCTGATTTTTCACGATTGACTAATATTTCTTGACTTTTCCAGGCTCAAGTTGAAAATTGTCAAGTTACTCTGGAAGGATTGAATAAGCAACGATTGGAGCTTCCGTGCGATACTTTCTTGTATTTTGTGCATCTGAAGGCACAGTTGCCGATTGTATGCTCAGTTTTTGTCCCAAGTTTCCCTTTACAAATAAAAGTGAAAAAGTTCAAAAGCTTGGTCTGATACTGAATTTAAAAATATATTATCTTCACGAGTTGCACTTCCTTCTTCTAGCGATCTGCTAAGGTTAAGATATGCGAACATGGTCTCGATTCGCGTGATTTGTAGAAATCGCTACGGTTGACTCTATACAAATACAAATGGCCTTAACTAAATAAGTACGGGACAAAAAGCCGAGTGCTGGCATATTTGAACTTATGAGTTTGCAATCTTCGTCGTATTAAACTGATTTCTTGAGCATTCGGATCAACTCAGGAGAGAAGGCATTGAAAACAAAATTTCAACACGCCATAATCGTACAAATAAAGTGAGTGGCTGATTCTGAGTGTTTGTCTGAACCGGGCTCTCCAAAATCAATCTTATTTGAGCCACGCCAAAAATTCACTCCACTTGAAAATCGTTTCATAACGCGACAGAATTGCCAGACTGTTTTAGGATGAACCACTTTTTGCGATCCACCGAATATTTGAATATTCGACCTCATGAAATATACGCACCGAGCGTATTGGATCTCAAAAATGTGCACTGTAGTTTTTTTTTAAAGGGGAGTGTCATAACCTTCGCACAAAAAAGTTGTTCCCCCGTTATTTCTCTCTCCATTTTTTTCGTATAAGGTCCAGGTTTTTCTAGCTTTTTTTCATCACAATTTGAGAAAAATAAACATTTGTAAAGAAAAATTACTTTTCGTGAATTTTTCCACCTTCCCACCTCGAGTATCAGACTCAGCTGCTGTGGGTTACCATACTCATCATCCGAAATCCCACAAAATCCTGCCGAACAGCACGAAAAACCGAACTCCATTTCATTTTATTCATCTCATTAATGATGTCTCACTCCTTTATTTTTTCACGTAGAAAACAAAAAAGGGCCTTTGCCGATGCATTTGCCAAATCTTCTGCCGCGAGGCCACCGAGAGCCAAAAATACTTTTCCAGCGCTCGGAAATTTTCGGGACTTTTCCGGCAACCCGACACCAAGGCAACTCCAGGCTCGAACGAGGTATCAACACTTTCCAATCACGATAATTAAATTTCAATCAATCGGCCTAATTGCGCTCCGTGCAGATCGAACACGCATCGCGGCGGGGCGGCGGGGGCCCAAACACGCGAACTCCTAACAAGGTGCACTCGCCGTGCAGTTAAGCAGTTCGTTTGCTCGTGCTCCGGAGGAAAAGGCATCATTAACGCGCTTTAATTTGGTGTTAATGGCGGTTTAATGGTCTGCTAACCCGCGCCGCGCAACGAGAGGAGCTCTACCGACCTTGAAAGTCTGGACACCGAGATTCCCTTGTTCGCTCTCATTTTGAAAGCTCCATTGGCAATGACCGAGCTTTCGGCCAGACACGTATCCGTTCAGTTTCTCAGGGTTTTAGCAGTTTTTTGTGTGCTCATCTTTTGCTAAAGCCTAGAGCTTTCCGAGTGTCTGAGCATCTTAAAAGGTTCCTGCAGTCGAAACAAAACAAAAATCTACCATTTTTAAGGAGTTTTCAATGCCTTTATCAAGTTCTTCAAAGAGTTCCGCTTGATCGACGTGAAAACTCGCCTCAGAGGCACAGAGGAAAATGTAAACTTCCGATAGGCAACTAAACTAACTTTGCGGTGACGCGTGTCGTATCATTCAAAACTGAAGGCGCGTCGAGCGGGAGTGATGAAGTGACATTCGGTATAGAATATCAGAATCGGAGAGATTATTCAAGACCGGAGGGAAAGGGGGGAAGGCATAAAGAATTATAGAACTGGAGGAACTAAAATTTAATCAAAATTCTTGGGAATCAGAACCAAAGTTCTCCCACAAGGTAAGGCCCTGCCATGACTTGAAAATCAGAAGAAATAAACCACGGACGGACTCTCCACAGCCGGAAAATCATCATCGACAGATCCAATTTCCGATCGCCTTAAATCCGACAACAGTCCTCGTCGTGACCATCAATCGGTTGCAATTCAAGGCGCACGGACAAACGATCAGCTACTGAATCGGACTGAGGCGCCAACGGACGGTCCGATGGAGGAGGGAATGACCGCTCGTGGATTTCGGCGGACAGAACCGTTGCGCCTTCCGCCGCGGCGGGCGGTGCTTTTGGCGGTCCAAGATCGCATCCTCGCACGTCCACCTTGGAGCCCTCCTCGGCATGCGGGGCACGAAGCTGCGATTCCATCGGCGATCGGCGAAAAACGACGTATCACAGCATCGCGGTTAAGCGGGAAGGAGGCTCTTCTCGCAAATCCTGACGGTTACGAGTTACAACATCCGGAAAACACAAACGTGGTTACTGAGCATGATGCTTATGTTGAGGACTTCGGGATGAGGTTAAGATTTTCCTTCAAGGCTAAGGATGGAGGGTTCCC